GGATTATGTTAGTTGTAAAGTGGATTATGTTAGTTGTAAAGTGGATTAGTAACATGAAGTTAATTAAAGGTCATTAAGGTATTTACTGTATCTGAATCGTTTGTTTCCTTCATGTAACGTTGATTTTGCCAGAGTTGTAAATATACTTTTAGTCCTGTTTTTTTGTTCAAGTCCAAATGCAACTAATTTAATGTAAATACTTGCAATGTGTTTTTCCAGGGAACCATTAAGTTCCACCGTAGGTTTAAACTGAACCCAAACTGGTTCAGTACATGTGTTTGCATCCTGTTTGAATACCATTACTGGCAGACAAACTGCCCGTCTGTCTCCATGACAACAGCCTCTCCAGGTGTTTCCCTTGCAGGTCAGACAGTTGCCGTTTGTGTTACACATTTCTTTTGCTGTGGGGTTAATTGATCAAATATTGGTCAGATTATGGTTGCTTCAGATTAGAAACAGTCCAGTGTGATCCATTTCACCCTGAACACGAGGGTGGTTCCTCTCAGTTCCTTATAAGGAGAACAAGGAACCCACTCGTGTTGGGGCTGCACACTTCACTCATCTGACACAAGTGGTCATGTGACCAGCTCAGGTTCACATTACAGGAGTTTAATCCGAGATCAGATCAGATTATTGTGTGGGTGTTATTCCTGCGTTTTTGGCAGGTCCAATAAAGACAAGAAGCACCTGTTCAGGTGTGGTCGTCATGGTAACAGTGTGACGTGAGCGGCAGCTCGTTTTGTAACGGAGCTCTGCAGAAAAAAAACAAACGGGTTTTATTTCACGGACCTTTAATCTGACATTTCTTCTCCAACAGAACTTTAATTTTATTCGTTCAGGAGCTCCGTTCCTTCACGGTTTTGTTCTAACGATGTTTGATGTCAGAGGTGATTAGAGCCGAGAAGGTTTTGAAGCGACACCTTTAAAGACGCAGTCTTGTTGTGTTCGGAGCACCGAGGCGGTTCTGAACGTTTCAGGGGTTTTATTGAAAAACACTCGGGTTACACCAACACCGTCAGAAAACAGGAATAAAAAAATAAAATACTGCAGAGACCACAGAACCTACAGGGACCCGTTCCATTTACAGACCAGAGACCAGCAGGAGCCGCAGACAGCTGGGAGGGGCGGGGCTAAAACTGAAGGCGTCCAATCAGAGAGCAGAACCTGAAGGGTGGAGCAGCTGCTGAGGATCTTGGGTAATGTAGGAACTGGGTTTACTGGGAGACTACAGAACTGAAACCTTGTCAGAACCACAGACAGAACCAGAACCAATCTGGAGCCCAGTGAAGGTTCTGTCAGCGCTCCTGCAGTAGATCTCTGTGGTGACCTGGGAAGAACCGGGCCGGGCACCTGGACCCGGTTACTGCAGTGAAACCTGAGACTTCCTGTCTGTCTGCGGCTCCAGGGCCCCGCCCAACTCAGGGGGAGGGGTTAGTCAGTGTGGGCGGAGCCAGGACAGTCCTTTACTCGTCATCATCATCGTCTCCTTCATCATCTGCGTCCCTCTTCCTCTTCTCGCCCTGAACAGCGGCGCCGTCCTCTGAGACAAGAGACACGAGGACACCAGAGACATGAGGACGCCTGAGACCAGCAACATGCACGCTCCTACTGCCTTCACATGCACTCTTACCTTCATCGTCCTCTTCATCATCATCATCCTCCTCATCCTCAACATAATCTCCATCATCCTCTTCATCCTTAACAGAACCAGCAGGTCAGGAAACGGGTCCAGAAGCCCCCCCCCCCCCCCCCCCAACCGGTAGTGAACACACAGACTCACCTGGATCCCCTCCTTCATCAGGTAGGACAGGCCCACCTCGTCCTCATCTGCATCAGAACCCTCCTCCTCTTCATCATCGTCGTCGTCTCCTAGTGGACCAGCTTCATCATCCTCATCTGGAACAGAACCACAGATCAGAACTCGGAACCGGCCAACTGGATTAGGTTTTGTCTTACATGGAACTGGGAGGTCCAGACCCAGACCTGGCTCCAGAACCAGTTTTCATATTTGAGGCCCGATTAGTTCCAACGTGTGACAGGAGCGGTTCTGGCAGCCGTTGGGTCGCCGCTGCTCACCGTCCTCCGAGTCGGGAACCTCGTTGTCCTCCGGGTCGAACCCGTCCAGAAACGTGAGCTGGGGCAGCAGCTTGAAGACGCCGTCCCTGTAGTCCTCCAGAGAGGAGACGTCGCAGCTGTACAGGTCCAAACTCCTCAGGTTCTTCAGGTTCTGCTGCAGGGCCACACGACAGGAAGTTAAAGGGAACACCAGTTGGCTCCCGGGTCCAACAGAACCGGACTTACCAGCGGCTCGATGCTGCTCAGCTCTTTGATCTTGTTCCCGCTCAGGTTCAGGTACGTCAGGCCGGGACAGTTCTCCACCAGCGAGTCCAAACCAGCTGAGATGGAGTTATCACTGACCTCCAGCTGAAAGCCAAACACCAGAACCAACATGTTCCCACACCTTTATTACAACCTGGGTCCACCTGTATCCCTGCCAGAACATCTGAGTGCCCAGTGGACCCAGAACCAGAACTGACCTTCCTGAGCTTGGGCAGCGACGGCAGCTTGGAGAGCGAGGCGAGGCCAACGTTCACCATGCTGAGGACCTCCAGCTGCGTGTACTCGTCCGTCACACCTTCCACCTCGCCGTCAGACGACCGACAGTTGTCCACCACCAGCTCCACCACCTGACACCACACACACCACAACCTTCAGAACCAGAACTGAGGTCTGTGGACCTCACAGATCAGGAAAACAACAGCACCGCCTGCAGACAGTTCTTCAAACCGGACTCCAGAACCAACTCTGGGTCCTGAACCACTGAGGTCCACAAGCCTGAAGAAATGGAAACATGAGTTCTGAATATGGATGAACCCATCCTTCCGATCCCGATACCTAGATCTGGATCTCTGCCGATACTCAGTGGAGACTGAACAAAAGGACCTTCTCCTACTCCGCTCCCGTTTCCTGGAATATGTTGTAAAAAGATCTGAAGCTCTCGACCTTTGACCTCTCTAAGTGTCTTTAAGGATCTGTTGGACTCCTGGCAGGGACCGATGCAGACATGTTCCTGTTTTTAGTTTCTACATTCGCCTTAGAATCTAGATGATTTTTGTTACTTAGACTCTAGCTGTTGTTGTTACTTTTTTAAAGCCATCCTATTTGTTAAAAAAAAAAAAAAACTTTTTATAACTGTTTATTGTTGTTGTCCATTGTTGTCATCACTCTTTGTAGAAACCAGGTCTCTCTTGTAAATGAGTCCTCGAGGCTCAATGGGATTTACCTGTATAAATAAAGGTTGAATGAATGATCATTTCCCTGGTGAACCAGCACCGCTGTGTGGTGAAGCAGCAGTAACTACACCACCTGCTGGAAACAACAGCTGACCTCACCTCCACCGAGGCTCCGCTCGGCTCCGACCGCAGCGGCGGCGTGGGCGGGGACAGGAAATACATGAACAGCTGCTGGTGCATTAAAACTGATCCGCAACTCCTGAAAACAAGTGATAACCCTTCGGTGGGGTCTACGTTAAATAAAATGAACTCATTTAGTTATAGAGCAAGCCTGGGAACGCTTTTAGAATCAGGAGGAATTGAAGAGGGTTCAAATGTTTGCAGGGCCGAGATATCAAACAACTCAGAAAGTAACTGCATGTTAGCTTTCTGAGCAGCAGCACGATAAAGCGCCAGCTGCTCGATAACCACAAGACAGAACGCACGCTGCATTAGCATGTTAGCTGCTAACTGTGGTCGCCTCGGTGCATTAGC